GGTAGTTCCTAGTACCTGTTTTAGTGATTGTATGTGATCCCCTGATTCCATAAAGTGAGACTTGTATTGCTGTTCAAGTTCTTCATAGTCTCGTTCAAGTTTGCTGACTTTGTTATTTAACTCACTGATTGTACTCTTAAGAGTTCTGTTGTTAGTTTCCTGGGATAATTTAGTGGCCTCAAGCTTGCCAATCGTAGCTGAAAGACACAATAATCATGGAAACTGTTATATATTTTTAATTATCAAATTCATTAATAATAAGGTAAACATAATGAAAATCATTGCCGTGACCGCATCTTTATATGAGCAAGAGATTTGTCCTGATTTGCATAACGGCTTTAACTTCGATTTTCTCTTACAAATGATATTTTATCCTGAAGTTTTTTTTCRAAATATGCTTTAGGTTATGTTGGAATTTRATAGGCAATATAAAATATTTGCATCCAACCTTTATGGGCTCTATGCCCATAAACGTCTCMCGCTCATATTTTATATATTATATATTAGATATTAGATATTTTCTGGAACTACCCATTATTGTATACCAACTTTGAAATTCAAATAATGGCAATTTAATTTCTTTCAGAATATTTTCTTATCAATTCATTTGTTTGTCTATAATTTGTTTTGTTTTCTGTAGACAAATTTAACATTCTGCAGCCTTTTGTTGTCCAAACATAGTGGGTTACAATCAAAGTATGTTTGYACAATGTATAGTACGTCAAATTCTTGCTAGATTCATCTTCTCCAGACAAATGCAATGCTTTTAACTGGTTATTCAATACATTCTGAGTAAATTGAAATAGAATATACACAGCATGCAAGCTATGACTATTCTTATATTGTTTTCTAAACTAGTTTAGATATGACTCAGAACTCTTGCTGACAGAGTCTATGAAACATATACTTTTTCTATGAATGGAGCTTGCAGCTGTGACTAATGTGACAGATGCCTGTTGAAAACTAATATAACATACATATTGTGAACCTGTAAGGTTTGAAAAGTCATCTACAAAAAAAAACATCTAGTAAAAAAGATAGGACAATTTTGTACAGAATATCCATGGCAACGTATTGTTTTCCCATGCGAAATTCTTGAGATTTCCTGGTATTTCATTGAAGTTTATATTTATGAAGCTAATAACAGAGCATGGTCTGACAACCACAAAACCCCAAATACAATGCAAACCCAGGGATATATTGATGTACAAATATTAGATTGTAAAGTCGGGAGGCGCAGACAAAAGAGGCGTCAAGTAACTGACAGTCTCTCATCAACACCTCTCTGATACTTCTGACTTACTTGATTGCCTGTCAATCTCTGCTCCTTTTTCATCGCATCTTTTCTTATAAATCATTACATCGTTTTTCAACTCTCTTATTTCATTTAAAGCATTGGCAGTTTCAATCCTTGATTCCTGCAGTTGTTGAGTGAGTTTTTCTGAATCAATATTTTTACCCGTAGTGACATTTTGAAGTTCAACAATTTGATCTTTCAAGGATGATATTTCAAGCTCACTATCGCTTTGTCTGTTTAACAGCTCTGATATTCTGTCTTTCAATGCTCTCTCCTGTCGGTTCCACTCGGCCTGTAATTGCTTTTCGCGTTCTTCTAAACTTTTGGAGCTTTGTTCTTTCGATTGAGCTTCAACAGCGCGCAGAGCATCAAGTTCCTTCTCGTAAAATGTTTTCAGTTTTTCAGCTTTTTCCTGATACTCTTTTTCGAGTTTCCTTTTCTCTTCGATTGCAAAAGAACTGGTAGAGTTTGCTTGCTCTTTGAGCCTTTCTTCCCGTTCTTTGTACTCTTGTTCAAGCTTTTGTTTTTCTCGTACAATTTCATCGTAACGAACACGATGAGCCTTCATCAGTTGATCAAGCTCATCATGATGTTTTGATGTCATTTCGTCRGCCATTTTATCACGATCTTCTTCCAGCTTTCTWCGCATTGCTTGGAAGTCTTTTACACGATCCTCAAAATCCTTTTTCGTAGACAACATTTCTTTCGACATAGAAAGGATTTTATCGGAATATTCCTCSCGAAGCTGAACMAACTTTGCTTCATTTTGTTGCTTGGTGCATGCAAATTCGCTCAAGGCTTCTTCTTTATGAAGTCTTTCTTGGCTTAAAATCGACTCTAAAGTTTCAATTCTTTGCTGTTGTTCACTAACAATCCCTAAGCGAGACTTAAAACTTTCTACTTTACTCTTTGTCTCTGCAATCAGCTGTTGCATTTCATCTTCGTGAGTCTTCTTTATAGCGTCCACTATCGCTTCATGTTCGTCATTCTTKGTATTTAGAGCGTAAATAACCTTGGTTAACTGAGCGATTTTCTTGGACATTTTCAGATGAAGATCGGGCGTAACATCAGAAACAGCACTTGCTCCATGACTGGACACATATGTGCCGCTTCTGTGCGGCATATTATGATAACTTGTAGAGGTTTTACTTGTCGCCATTTTGATCTTGTTCTTCGCGACACTCACTGTATTCGCTGTGTARTGTTGCCTAGGCTACCCTGCAATGTTATTTTAATCAATACTTCATCGGAAAGTTCATCGGCTATACTTCGTAAATCAATCGTTATCCTCAATCAAACAGATTTTGTGCCTTCCGAAGAACTCCGACTTTTTTCGAATGATTATCGATTGAAAAATCTGTTTGCCGCCATTCTCCCATTTTGTAAATTTCCAAAACATGGCAACYAAAACTCATTTACTTTTTATGGATTTTTAGTGTTGTCTTAGCAAAAGTAATAATGTTTTCCAATGAAACACAAGAAGGAGTTTTCTTTGAATCGTCCTGGAAAACTGAGAGGTAAGTTATTTATTTGTTTTGAAAATTCTGCGCAAAGGTTTCGAAAGAGTGTGAAATCAGGATTGTCAAGATTTTCTTTCTGTTTATTTTAGAACAGTTAAAGATGGTTTTGCTCAAACAAGTGAAATTATTACATACGAGGCCGATGCACAAGCTGTTTTTAAGAAGGATATTGAGGTAAGCTTCAGAAATGACGGAGCATTTCTTTTTTCAAAAATCTCAAGTGGTGTCGTCGGCTCGATGCATTTTTCATTGCATCTATTCAGATTCAAACAGATGAAGAGCCAGAGAAAGAAATAGCAATAGCAAACGACGATAATTCTCAGGTATTTTAGAAGAAAATATAAATACGTACATGACATCGAATGACACAAACTCTATGTTGGATTCCCTGTGGAATTGAATATTCACTATGTTTATAGTGAAATATGATCTTGGGTACTACCAATGCATAATAGCTCAATGTAGCCATTGTCATCATCATCTACATAGTCCTAGCACACAGTTAAGCCCATTGTCTAGCTTAAGCTGCATAGAAATTATTTAGATGTCTCGTTGATTTTACATAATTATAACATTTTACACCATGCCAATACACTGCAGATTGCCCTCTTCTTTTTCAAATAATGCTGTTGGTTCTTTGATGCCTCTCACAGATAAAAGATACTAAATATTTTTCATTAAAAATGTTCTTTTTTTTTCTTTTTGTGTGTATGTTTCAGAAACTAAATGATTTCCTRTTGCGAGTTTATCCTGAATTGAGTAGACAGTTAGAGGCCAATATAAGAAGTCATGCATTTGATGGTAAGATTTGACATAATTAGTATCAAGTGGSCATTAGGCTATATGTATGTGAGTGGGTTACTGTGTATGGCCTAATTGAGCTAAGGYGTGTGGCACCAATCACATGAATATTTTTAAGTTTTCAAGCCTAGGAAAATATTAGATCACTTGATCACATCACTTTTTGGACCAAGTGAATTACCATTCAAAAWATACCAGTTTATTGTCCAGTGTCTGGCATGGTTACCCACTTGCCCAAGTCAGAGGGCAGGCTCACATATAAAAGCACTAGGCTAAATAATAACCAATAAAAATAATAAAAGTATATAAACTTAGACATATTGTTTTGTTGTACTCTGTTAGGCTATGATGTTGATTGGGAAGAAAAATCAAGCTCTGTTACTTGTGAGTTTAATCTTGTAAATGAAGACAAGGAAGAGGTTAGTTATTCAGCCAGTCAATCAATCAATCAT